ACACACAGGATTCCCGGAGTTGGGTTTTCGCCTGTATTTTTTTTCGAAATGCTGCTCTCGCTGAGGCGCCGGCCTCATTTTCGGGCCCCGCTCGTTCCGAATCGTGCTCCCGCTGCAGCGCTGGCCTCATTTCCGTGCTTCCGCTCGTTCCGAATCGTGCTCCCGCTGCAGCGCTGGCCTCATTTCCGCGCTTCCGCTCGTTCCGAATCGTGCTCCCGCTGCAGCGCTGGCGTCATTTCCCGTGCCATGCCACGGCATGCAATGCAATGCTAGGTTGCGTTCCGCTGCGCGATGCCATGCCTTCAGCTGAAGCTGTGATATGCAGTGCTTAAGTGCCACGTCGTGCTATGCCATGCTACGCTTTGATCTTCAACGCCATGCTATGCAATGTTATGTTCGGGGCCGCTGTGCGATGCCATGCTTTGCGTTGCAAAGCTTTGTGATGCAATTCTTCACTACGCCACGCCACGCCATGCTGTGACATACTACGCTTTGCGGTGCTCTTCTACGCCATGCCATGCCGTGCTCTACAATGCATCGCGTACCCTTTCGGGATCATTGCCTTGCTCGGCATCCGACTCTGCGAGTCGAGAGGGGATCTACGCCATGGTAAGGGATGGGAGGGATGGGTAGGATGTCAGATATGACGCGAGCGCACCTAGCTTGTCCTCCCCCTCCTCATCCTCCTCCTCCGCCTCCTCCTCATCCTCCTCCTTCCTCCTCCTCCTCCTCCTCCTCCCCCGCCTCCTCCTCCTCCTTCCTCCTCCTCCTCTTTTCCTGCTCCTCCTCCTCCTCCTCCTCCCTCCCAATCGTCCTCTCCTTCGCTTCCTCCTCCTCCTCCTCATCCCTCCATCTCCTCATCCTACTCATCCCTCCTCCTCGCCCCCCTTCTTCTTCTTCTTCCTCCTCCTCCTCCCTCCATCTCCTCCTCCTCCTCCTCGTCCTCCTCCCACCTCCTCCTCCTCCTCCTCCTACTCCTTTCAGATCTCGCCCCTCCTGGGTGATGCGGAGCGGGCCACTGTCGTCGCGCAGCTCCTCCGGGTCGCGCTCCACACGGGCGAACTTGCTCGAGGCGTTCCAGAAAGGTCCTCGCCTTCGAAGATCGAAGGAGTTGTCATCTCTTCATCTGCGGAAGGCGGCGGAAGGTCGGCGGAAGTAAAACAGGGCCGCCTCCGCCAGCGGAGGCCGGCGAAAGCCGGCAGAAGGTTGGCGCAAGGCGGCGGAAGCAAAAGATGCGCCCCCGAGAGATGGAAGCGTTTTATGGTTCAGGGTTTCCGAAATCGCCCATTTCTTGGGGTGCGTTCTGACCAAGACTTCGAGGCACGTCCAGCCGCAGCGACACGGGCCTCCCAGGAGGCCCCAAAAAGGAGAACACGGGCGATTGGTAGCGGCATGGGTCAGGGCTCGAGCTAAACGGTGTTGCTGCCTTGCGCCCGGGGGGCTTCCGCGGGGCGGAGAGCCACGCAAGCCCTCGGGCCAGAAATGGCTGAGGGATAGGAGGAAGAAGAGGCAGAGGCAGGATTGAGAAGATTCAGAAGGGAGGAGAAAAGACAAACAAGAAAGGGAGCATATTTCCCAGATGTGCACTGTCGTGAAGTTGCTGTGCACATCCATCCTTCGAGCATGAACGCCACGCAAGCCCTCGTGGGCCTCACCCCGGGCGCAGGGGCCCGGCGCGCCCTGCGAGGGCTGCGTCTCCCGCGGAAGTTGTTCAGAACCCCCCCCTCTTTTCGGCAGAAGGATGGCACGTCCCCGCAGCAGAAGCGTGATTTTCGCACCGGGAGGATAATGCGGCTCGCGCTTGAAAACAAGCCAGGGGGGGGAACTATTGTTGAGGGGGCTGCTTGGCACAGTGCTAAAAGAATCGTTCGGCGAAAATCCCCCCCTTGATTTTTCGTGCGCTGCTAAGATAACACCGGGGGGGTCTTAACAACTTCCTCGGGTTACGTCCCACGGTCAGCTCTCCTCGGCCTCCCTCGGAGAGGTCTCCTCGATCCTCCTCCATCTTCGATCCTCGGTCTTCCTCCATCCTCTCATTTTTTCGCCTCGGTCCTTCACTTCCTTTGCCTCGACCCTCAAGCCCCCTTTTCTCTCGAGGCCAGTCGCTCCCTTCACAGCGGCGCTTATGTATTTTCCATGCCCCTGCGCGCGATGGTGAGATCGCATGTGCGCTGGTGCGCTAGGCATCCGTATCTGTTTTTGTGGACGACCGCATGTTTAAATCGACTGTCTGGTTGAGGTGCGTCCCACGCCCAGCTACGGGAAGACGCAGTTTAAAGATTGTCCGTGCATTTCAGTCCGCACGTCTATTGGGTTCGTGTCATGGTCTTCATGGTATTCTTTCTCAGCTCTTCATCGTGATTTCCCTGGCCCGTCAGTGGTGGGGCATTCGTCATTGCCATGGGCCATTGCTTTAACCATGTGTGTGCCGGCGCGGATGCGAACACGTGACGTACTGCGCTCTGGATGCGAACGTTTGGTGGTGAACATGCTGCTGTGACAGGCATGTGATGAACGCTATCTGGTGCAAGCTATGTGATGAAAGGCATGTGGAGCAAGCTACATTGTATAAGCTATATGCTTTAAGCTGTCTGACTTAAGCTGTGTGGTGCAAGCTATGGTGTGTAAGCTGCGTGGTTCAAGCTATGTGGTGCAATTATGTTTGAGCGCATCCGCGTGACCACCTTCAACGCTCGCACAAACATCCGACCCACCCACCGACGACTTGTCTGAACTGGGCGGCGACAGCGACGATGACGACGGCGATGCTGATTTCTGTGACGACGGTCGGAGATTGTCGACGACGGCGATGGTGATGGCGATGCAGCTGATGGTGAGTGAGCAGTGGCAACGATGACGCTGGCCAACGTGACGGGGAGGATGGAGAGGAAGTGCACGCGCACAGAAAGCTGACGAGAGCGACGACAGCGACGACTGCGGGGATGATGACGGCGGCGGTGCTGCTGACGACGACGATGGTGTTGGTGACGATGAATGTGATAGGATGGGGAGGAGGGGGGAGGGGGACAAGCCAGGTGCGCTCGCGTCATATCTGACGTCCTACCCCTCCCTCTCATCCCTTACCATGGCGTAGATATTCTCTCCATTCGCAAAGACGGATGCCGAGCAGGGCAGTGATCGCGAGAGGGTGCGAGATGCATGGTAGAGCACGGCATGGCATGGCGTAGAAGAGCATGGCAGAGCGAAGCATGCCATAGCATGGCGTGGCATTTCGCAGTGAAGCATTGCATCACAAAGCATTGCAACGCAAAACATGGCATCGCACAGCGGCGCAGAACACAACACCGCACAGTATGTCATGGCATGGCGCCAGGTTCCTTGGAGGGTAAGTGTATCGTCTTCGAAGGGTCTGGGCTGGTCTGGAGTCGCGGCTCCATGTTTAGCTCCCTGGGCTCCCTCAAAAGCTCCCCACAAGGCGGGGTTGATGGAGAGCACCCGCTGGCTCTGCTTGCAACATCGCCTTCTCGAAGCAGAACGGGGCTCCCGCATGATATTTGAAACGACGACGCCCAAGAGTGGGGGGGGTCTTCTGCGGCCCAAGAAATCGACGAATCGGCACCGAATGTGGAATCATTTCCGATGAATTTTTCGGAGGGACTTTTTGTATATTCCGAGGCCTATTTGGAAGGACCGACACCATGCCGTGGCATGGCGCTGGAAATAATGACGCCAGCGCTGCAGCGGGAGCACGATTCGGAACGAGGGGAGGCGCGGAAATGATGCCAGCGCTGCAGCGGAAGCATGATCCGGAACGAGCTGTAGCCCGAAAATGAGGCCAGCGCTTCAGCGAGAGCATCATTTTGAACAAACAAGCGGAAACCCGTGTCCTGGGAATCTTGTGTGCAACAAACAAGTACGCGGAGGTGGGCCGGATATTTCACCTGCCCTGCGTGGTTCCGCCGAGGGTTTGCCACGTTCCCGCCCGTGGGCGCCTCGTGGGCGCCTCGTGTCTCGGGTGGGTACGCCAAGGTTTCGCTACGTTCCCGCCCGTGGGCGAATCGCGGGCTCGTGCCGCAGGTGATCCCGCCGAGGTTTCGCAACGTTCCCGCCCGTGGGCGCTTCGTGAGCGTCTCGTGCTTCTGTGCGTAACATGGCATACAGCATCGCTCACCTTGTAGAGCTTACACCACATAGCTGACACTGTATAGCTCACACCTCGTAGGTCTCATCGCGTAGCTGTGACAACATAGCTCACACCGCCTAGCTTACCCAACATATGTTGCACCAAATCGCTTTCTCCGCATGGCTTGCACAAACTAGGCTGCGCCACATAATAGCTCGACCTTCACAATGCAATGATTCACTGTGCAGGACCCCCGCTGGCTAACATGTGTCATGTGTTGCAAGGGGCGCTTAGAGAAAGCACTTTAACACGCGTGCACCGCACAGGATGGGAGGGGTGGCGGTACCAGGACCGTCCCTCATTGTATCACGGTGGCGGGGGCAGACCTTGAGAACAATGTATCTGATGAATGCGGATGTAATGTCCATGGCCTAGCCTCGACTGGAGTTCCACTGGTTTCCAGACCTTGGGTTCCTTATCCAGTTGTTCCTTACCGGAGACGCCAACGGCGAATCACCGTCGCCCCCTGCCCGGTGGAATCGCCAATGTGGCCGAACGTTGTGGCCAGAGCTTTGCCAAGCTATCGGACCATATGTTCCCCCAGCCGTTGTGGAAACTAACGCTGTCGGGAATCTTCTTCGGGCCTCTCTAAACGAATTGTGGGCCCTCCTTGGGGCGCTTCAGACCCGTCCTGGAGGCCATCTTGGGCGTCTTGGAGGAGGCCTCTTGGGCCCTTTGCGGCCCTGGGCCGTCTTGGGCGCCTCTTGGGCCGTCATACCATCTTCTTGAAGGCTTCTTGGGCGGTCTTGGGGCGACCTTGGGGGCCTCTTGGGCCGTCTCGGGCCGTCGGAAGGCAGAACAGAAGAAACTGCCCAAATCCTTCAAAAACCTTGGGAAACTCTGTAAGTTTGGCCTCTTCGGGTCCTCCTGGAGGTTCTCTTGGAGGCCTCTTGGGCCGTCTTGGAGGCCTCTTAGAGGCCTCTGGGGCCGTCTTGGGCCATCTTAGGGGTGTTTTGGTGGCTTCTTGGGAGGACCTTGGAGAAATCTTGGACCCTCTTGGGCCGTCTTGGAGGCTGCATTGGACCATCTTGGGCGAACGTGGAGGCCATCTTGGCCATTTCTTGGCCGTCTTGGACTCCATCCACGGCCCGAAAACCCATGACCTGTACACCCGACGCGCTGGGCCGAATACCCAGGAAGAGTTCTTGTGGAGAAGAGTCAAAACCAAAAGCTGTAGGGTTCAGCGCGCCAGGCACCCCTGTGATAAATCATCCGAGGGCGGCGGATCCAATGCCCTCACCGTATCGGCTCAAGTGGCCCAAGGAGTGGCCCTTGAGTTGATTGTAAGTCTACACCCCAGCTCAGCCGCACCTGCGCGCGGCTTCTTCTTTCAAACTCGCTCGTCCCAACAGCACGGACACCCATGCCGGCATGGAGCGCGCACGGGCGCGCTGGTGGCCACAGTGCTGGGCAGTGGCACTCGCCGTCGCGGTCCTCAGGGAACTCTTTGGAGTGGAAGCAGGACCCCTCCGGCAAGTGGCACTGGATCGGGACGCCGCCGTCTTCGCAGTCTGTTTCCGAGAAGCGCCTGTGGGTGTGCCGGGGCTGCTCCAGCACGAACCACACGAAGACTGCGTGCGGCACGTGCGGCATGAAGCGCACCTACTCCGACGTCGTGAACCAGACTGCGCAGCCGCCCAATACGGAGACGGGCAAGACTGTCTCCAACAACCCCGTGGCGCAACAGTTGGCTTCTGTTGCAGCTGCTCTGGCAGCGGCCACGCCGCCTGCGCAGCCGCCATCGCCTGCGCCGCCGGCCCCACCCCTGCCTGCGGCCCCCCCCAAGGCGGAAGTCCCTACAACGACCACGCCACCAGCAAGTGCGTCGACACCTACCTCACGATCGTCGCTGCTCGCGGACATCAAGCAGTTGGAGGCGGTGATGGGGACTATGACATCGCCTTTTATGTCTACTGCCAAGGCCGAGCTCGAGGATCGCCTGGCCGAGAAGCGTGCCGAGCTGCAGGCGCTGCGTCCTATCGGACAGCGTCTGGACGGTACGCGCGCGGCCCTCGAGCGCTCCCGGAAGCGACGGGAGCAAGCCGAGCAGGCAATGGCACTGGCTCAATCGGCGCTCACGGCGGCGATCGACGAGGAGAAGAACTTGACGGCGCAGCTTGCGGAGCTCGAGAGGCTCAACCTGACCGTCGGCTCCGACGCCCCCCCCGCCGATACCTCGCTCGTCACTCTCGGCGAGCAGCTTGCCGCGGCGGTCGAGCAGGTGCGCTCCTTCTCCAACGTGGACCCAGCCGTCGGCGACGAGGCGCAGCACGAGTCGGAGGCCCTGCTCGCTCGCTTCCAGGCGACACTCCAGGCGGCCGAGGCCGCGATGCACGCTGCGAAGGCCGCCGTGCCGAGGCGGCTGAACGGCAAGCAGCCCATCAAGCATCCTCCGGAGGCGCCGGAAGTCCACGCCCCGGACAGGCGCCTACCCAAGAAGCAGAAGGTCCAGTCCCACCTCGACCACTGGTTTGGGCCCCTGGCGGCCGCGTGGGCCCCTGGCGACTGCTGCTGCTGCCGCCCAGACGCCGCCACCTGTGGCTACAGCGGCGGCCGGGCCGCCTGCGCCGCAGCCCTCCCTGACGCGGACTGCCGCCCACAGCCCGTACGAAGTCGAGCAGGCCCTGAAGTCATGCCACCCGGGGGCGCACCAGCCGCAGCTAGGCGGCCGGAGCCTGGCGTCGCTCCCGCACCGGCGCCACCACGGCACCGCCCTGCGGCGCCCGACGGGGCCCCGAAGGCCGCCCGGCTGCTGCGCCCGGCAGCCGCACCTCAGGAGGGCACCGTGCAGGTCGGCTACTCCGCGGCCTCCATGACCAGCCTTTCTGGCCATCAGCCCAATGACACGTGCGAGCACCTTCCCCCTGCAGATGGGCTGGGGGCCCTCGCCCAGTGGGACTGCCACTCCCACGGCCCCGTCGCGCCTCGGCTTCCACGTCTGGAGCGCCGTCGCCTTCGAGCTACATGGTGGGCCGCTCGCCGCCGTCAGCTCGATGATCCCGCTCGCCGAGCCCCCGCTGGCTACCTGGGCCGTGAACGTGATGGTCGTCCGCGTCCGGGAGCCGGGGTCTCGGCCGACGCCGCAGTTGCCACGCTGAAGGTGGTGACCGCGAACGTGCAGACGCTCCACCCACATCAGGAGGGTTGCAGCTATTACCGCACATCCTTAGCCCTGACGAACGGTAAGGTGCAGATCCTTGAGCAGCAGTTTCGACAACGGGGGTTCTCGGCGATCGGCCTCCAGGAGGGCCGCGCCCGCCAGGCCGAGAAACGTGAAGGTGTGTACTTCACCATGTTCGTGTCTCCCGCCACGGGGGACGGCGCACTTGGAGTTCAATTTTGGCTTGATCGCGAACTGGGCCATCATGTCGTTCAGTGGCGTGCTTGCTCGCCTCGCATGCTGTTCGTGATCAGCGTCTCCCGCGAGTGCGCAGTGCACGTGTGGTTCTCTGCGCACGCGCCCACCTCCTGCGCCAGCGTGGACGAGCGCCTCGAATTCTGGACGGACCTCACTTCCGCTGCCGTTGACCTCAGGGCACGGTTCCCCAACGCATTTTGGTTCGTCGCCATTGATGCGAACGCGAGGGTCGGGAGGGTCCCGTCGGAAGCCTTCGGCCCCGCCTGCCCTGAGCACGAGAACGAGAACGGTGCATCCTTCCGCATCTTCGCAGAGACGCTGCAGCTCGTCGCCCTCAACACGTTCTCCGGTGCAGCGCCCACCTGGTACCACAACACGAACACAGCACACCGGATCGACTATGTCCTCGTCAGGAGCGCCCACCAGACATGGGCTTCCGACGTCCAGGTGCACGCCGACATGGACCTCACCTTCAACGGGCGGCGCGACCACTCTGCCGTCTCGGCCACTTGCACTGTGCAGCAGGCCGCGCTGGGCTCAGCACCCCGGCCGCCTCCTCCCGTTCGCATCGATAAGGCGGGAGCCGGAGACACGACGTTGGTCCAGGAATTCCAAGCGCGTCTGCGAGAAGTTCCCGTTCCTGACGAGCCGCACGTTGATGAGCAGCTGGCGCGGGTAGACTCTGTCATGACGGAGGTCGCCCTGGATGTGTTCGGCCAGGCCCGGCCCCTGCCGCGCAAACCGTGGCTCTCGCAGACCACGTGGGACATAGTTCAGCTTATTGCGCCCTTTCGACGGCGCGCTCATCACGCCGCGCGTCATCGATTCGCTTGGTTTCAACGAGCATGCTTTGATACGTGGCTTGCAGCGTTTCCCGGTTGGAGGCTCCGGCGGGCGCAACGCTCAGCCGCGTTTCCCATGTCGTCGTCCACCTCATTCGCGCTGGGTGCAGCGGTGGACTCTTTGAACGCCCGCGCACGAGCGCAGAAGCATGAGTCGGCTTTCTACGCCGCCATTCTGCGCCTGCAGAAGTGCGTGCGCGAGTCCCTGCACGCGGACCGCATGGAGTTTCTTGATAGCATGGTGATGAAGGCTCAGGCGGCAGCTGACGCTGGTGACGTACGCACCCAATTTGCCGTTGCCCGCACCCTCGGCGCACGCTCGGCCGTCGCCAACACAGAGGTGTTCAAGCTCGACGGCACCCTCACCCAGAACGCCTCCGAGGAGACCACGCGCTGGGAGGAGCATTTCTGTGACGTTTTCAAAGGAAAGCTGACCACCCTACACGACATGCGACGACCGGTGCAGCCCGACCACAGCGACGCCCTGCTGCTGGATGCTGGACCTGCTGCGACGGCAGCGGCTTTCCGGAAGCTGGGCCGCAACGAAGGCGTGGGCATCGACGGCATACCCGCCGAGATCTTGATGGCTGGAGGGAACCCTGCTGCAACCTTGTACGCCTCAGTCAACGAGCGGGTGCTCCACAACTACCAGTGGCCCTTGCAGTGGTGCGGCGGCCTGCTCCCGCACCTCCACAAGCAGAAGGGTGACCGCAGAATCTGCGACAACCACCGCGGCATCCTCCTCGCTGACCACGCTGGGAAAGCATTGGCCAGCATCGTCAAGGACGCATTGGAACCAACCGTCAACGAGCACCTGCCGGCCACGCAATCCGGCGCAGTGGCCAAGCGAGGCACGGATTTCGCGACGCACATGGTCCTCACTGCCACTGCCCTGGCTCAGGTGTGGCAGGCATCGCTGTTCCTGCTCTTCGTCGACCTGACCAAGGCGTTTGATAGGGTCATCCGCCAGCTCGTCATGGGCTGGGGCAGCGTGGGGCGTGAGCACCGCGAGCG